TACGGCACTCAGCTCCGCTTCTCCTCGTCTTACCATCCTCAGACTGATGGTCAGACCGAGATCACGAATAGAGATATTCTCCGAAAGATTGTTTGTGACGACCAGCAGTGGGATCTCCATCTTGCCCACGCGGAGATAGCCTACAACCACGCCGTCTCGCCAGCCACAGGGATGTCGCCTTACTATTGCGACCTCGGCTATCACCCGCGTGTTCCCGCGGACTTCCTTCGACCGTCCCAGCTGCACCCCGACAAGATTTGTCCCACGCTGGATGATTGGGTTGCACACATGACGTCGATCATGAAGACCGCACATGAGCACATAACTGCTTCCCAGACTCGCATGGCAGCATGTGCAAACCGATCCAGAATGGAGCATCCATTCAAAGTTGGTGATGATGTGCTTATCGACGCCCGCCACTTACAGCTCGAAGCGGACACGCTTCGCAAGTTTCGGCGTCACTTCTTTAGCCCATGCCGCATCCTCCAGGCCGTCGGTTCTGATACGGCTTCTAGCCTGGTCAGCTTCCGTGTGAAGTTGCCCAACTATCTACGCCAGGCTCGAGTGCACGATGTCTACGACGTCTCGTTACTGCGTCCTTATCGCAGACCGTCTGAGCGTTTCGCTGGACGACCATACGAGCGCCCTCCACCCATCATGGTGGATGGCCACGAGGAGTTCCTCGTTTCAAACATCATTGGTCGCCGAGTCACCGACGACAACCCTCCCCACGTCGAGTATCTCGTACGTTGGAAGGGTTACCCTGATGAGGAGGCTACGTGGGAGCCCCTCGAGCACTTGCAGCACGCTCGCATGTTGGTGCGTGCCTATGACCGTGCTCATCATGCTGGGTTCACCGCTCCTCCTCAGCCCACTGAACCTCCTCCTTCTCCCCCGGCTGAGGAGACTGCTGAAGTCGAGCCTGCTCCATCTGAGGCAGACCTTCAGCAGCAGTCGGATGCTTCTGAGCGTCCACAGCGCACTCGTCGTCGTCCTGCTCGATACGACGATTGACTCTGACTTACCTTCCCACGTCCTTGACTTCCCAGTATTACATCCACTCCAGTTTTGCTACTTCAGCTCGTCGACGTCGCGGCTCTTCCTCGACGGCATTCCGGACTTCTCATCGTAGACATCATTGACAGCTTCATGGACTTCGTCACAATCAGCTCTGCCTACTTCAGACGTCGCCACTCGACCACTTTACCCTGTACAGTACCCTGCTTGTGTCGCATGATGGTCTCCCTTTAGCCGGGTTCCTCTGAGTTGGGCTCTCCCTTGGTATACGCATAGGCACCGGGACCGTAGCGTTGCCCTGGCTTCCCATCTTACGGATCTAGCTCCGACTTCCCTCACTTTAGGAGTCATTTGCATGATTCCCTTACCTATCATCTTTCTACCCTTTGTCGACCCTCACGCCCTAGTTAGGCAGCCCCGCATGCTTCATCTAGGTGCGCCTAGTATACCAGGCTCCCTTGTTCCCTTGCATGGTCGACCCTCCATAGCGGTCACCCCTTAGTCGAGCATTACCCGCCCTGATGGTCTATCTGTTAGGGTTATTGGTTCTGTTCGTTCCCAGTTCCCTACCCTCATTGAGCCTGATGACATGTGTTTCCCCTGTCACTATGTGTGGATGCCCTTAGGAGCTTTCGACCCCTACGCTGCATTCGCCACCCTCAGAGACCATCCCACCCTTTGGTTTGCGACACACTTCTCCTGTGACATATGGTTGACTTGTTGTTGCTTTGTTGCTCTGAGACTGAGGCTACTGCCTCTGACATTTCTAGGATTTAGCTGTTTTGCTTTTGCTGTTCTTAGGACTTATACACTAGTCATTTGTTCCCAGACTGAGGCTACTGCCTCCAACATTCTACGATCTAGTTGTCACTACTTTCTGCTTTCCTAGGACATGTATGCTAGTTAGTTGCTTTTGCTTTCCTAGGACATGTATGCTAGTTAGTTGCTTTTTCTTTCACTTAGGCTGTTAGCTGTGACATTGCTGTTTTGTGACATTTTCTATCCTAGGTTGCATCGCATGGACTCAGCATGGAGCTTGCTCCGCATCCTAGACTACTTAGGTTTTCTTTTTCTTTGGTAGAGTTCCGCTTCTTGGCGGAAGCGTGTTTGCATGTAGGCGATCCATCACAGGTCGAGGATCGTGTAGCGGACCTCTGGTTGGCCTGTGAGACCAGCCCCTTGGCCTGTTCTCACAGACCTGTGTTCTATTCGGGGGCAGTCCAGTCCAGTCCAGTCCAGGCCGGTACCTCTGTCGGTACCAGCCAGTCCAGTCCAGTCCCGTCAGTCCGCTGGGGTATACCCCAGCAGTTGTCTGTTTTCGTCCTCATTCTTCACTTGCACATTTTGGAGTACGTGCGTTGGAGTCTTGCGTGGGGAGCTGCGTTGTGCCATCTCGCTCCCCCACTTCTTCCTCCATCTCCATCTCTATCACTAGCGGAGCACCACACCCGGTGGGTCCGCTACAGAGAGAGAAAGAGAGAGAGAGAGAGAGAGAGAGAGAGAGAGAGGGGTCGCCGCCTCTCTCTCTCTCTCTCTCTCTCTCTCTCTCTCTCTCTCTCTCTCTCTCTCTCTCGTCGCGGCTGGCCTCATGGTACTGCGCCCTCGACAGGATGAGCAAAATCGAATGAATCTGGCGCTATAGCGTGGGAATATACATTGCCTTACTTGTTTTTGTGTGAGTGTGTGTGTGTGTGTGTGTGAGAGAGAGAGAGAGAGGGGCGGCGAGGTCGCCGCCTCTCTCTCTCTCTCT